AGCCTCCAGGGGATAAAATCAGCAATTTATGCAACAGTCCTGCCTGGGCAGAACTTCATAGGTGCAAGCAGAGGAAGAGCTACAAGTGTCAGTGGTTCTGGGATTGTGATGTCCTCCTGCCACGCCTCTGGATCTTCTAATCTGCTGCCTCTTTTTCCAAGCAGACCTTCCCTAGAAAACTCCTCTGTAACTGGCCTGTTTGCTGTTCCTTGATCCTAAAGGGTTCCCTTTTCCTTGCAAACCTCTTTCCTCTCAGCAAGCTTACAGTGAAGGAATGTGAGAATTTCTAAGCAAACTCCCTGGCAAACTCCCCCCCCCCGCCCCACTCTGGAGCTTCTTCAAACGCACCTTACTGCTCCTTAGGGCCTGCTTCTTAAACTGGAAACAGCATAGTCACATTGAGGCAGTATAGTACTAGGCAGGTTAATTAGCACTGCTGAGTGACAGGGCCACGGAGCCTACCTTGTGCTAGTGAGCCTGTCTGCCTTGCATTGCAGACATGGCTACACTGTTTCCAATTTAGAAGGCAGCACATGCCCAGTATGCTAGAGGGTACTGCTGTCAAGCATTCTAAATTTATGGTAATAGACATGGCTATTTCAAAATCCTGTTTCACATATCTTGGGAGTTGAATAGGATTAAAGTCCCATTTACTCCTGTGCAACCACATTAAATATTTTAGCAAAATGTATCATATTAAAAGTATGGGTACTCACAGTTAGGCCTTTCCTGCCTTGCAAGTCTACCCTGATTACCAAGGATCTGGGTTTTCCATTTCCCACAGCAAAAAGGAAAAAAATGTGGATTTTCCCTTTTAACTGAGAAAGATGCGGATTTCTCATTTTAATGGAGAAACATGAGGATTTTCTACTTTTGCAAAGAGCTCTCTGCATGCTGGCAGAGTTCCATCCTGCAAGGGGCTGGAGGGAGTGGGAGGAGGGCAGTCAGGGAGGGGGAGGTGTGCATGTACACACACTCATGTACACATGGACACCAGGCACAGCCTAGAGAGCAGCTCCCACAGGCAAGTGGGGGCAGGGGGGAAGGAATGGAGGCTCTCATAGGGAGGAGGAGGAAGAGCAGGAGGGAGAGAAGGAAGGAGGAAAGAAGTGAGTTGGGCAGGGCTGAGGCTGGGGCTGCTGCCCAGCCAGGCGGTGCATGGGGCTTGGGGCTGGAATGCATGGCTGCAGGGCCCTGGTGGGGCGTGGGATAGGGCCACAGGTGGCTTGTCCAGGGGATGGGGGGGGGATGGTTCCCCACAGCTGTGTGCATTCCTGAGGGGGGCCAGGAGGGATATGTGCCCCCCAGATCTATGCACGAGGAGGGGGCGGGTGTGGGCTGCCCTCTGCGGGTTTGGGCTCCTTCCCTGCTACCTTCTTCCCAGGGCCTCTGCAGCCCAGCAGGCAGGACCCAATGTGGCAGGGCAGAGTGGGACCTGGCAGGGAAGCTCCTTGCTGCTGTGTGTCCCACACCACTTTGGTGAAGCAACCCCTGCCCGCCTGCCCAGCAGCAGGGGTGGTGGTACAGAGCCATGCCCCTTGCTGCTGCCAAGTAGGCAAGGGGCAACTTGCCATGGTGGCGCAGGGCTTGCAGGAGCAAGGAACTTCCTCACTGAGCCCCACTCTGCCCTGCCGTACCGGTCCCACCTGCTGGGATGCAGAGGCCCTGTGGGG